ATATATATATATATATATATATATATATATTTTAAATGATGAAAGAGAATCATTGATTGGCTGCCTCCTACACACCCCTCTACTGGGGATCCAGCCCGCAACCAGCATGTGCCCTGGATTGGAATCTAAACTGGACCCTTAAGTCCGCAGGCTAAAGCTCTACCCACTGAGCCAAGCCTTTGAGACCTAGATCTGAGCCCTCACCTTGATGGAGAATCCGATGGTGAAAAATCCATCAGGACACATCTCGGGCCAGGCCCAGTCGCCCGCGGGGCCCCCGTTGGTCACCTCGATGACTTGGGTGTAGCTTCTGGAACCAATCGCTCTGGCGTGCCCGCAGCACATCGCCCACAGCAGCAGCAGCTTGGCTCCCACTGGCTCCATTCTGCAGCCTCTGTGAGCCAGGGCCCCTTAAGCAGGTTTATACCACCTCTGCCCCATGAGGGCTCCGATTGCGGAAGGGCCACTCGGATTAAGTGACACCAAAAACTAATCTGCTCCCGGAACCCTGCAGACCTGATCTGCTGCTCAGGGAGACCTATGCTCCCAGCACCAGAGGAGGAGGGGCATCAGGAGCAGACAAGTTGAAATCACCACCATCCGCCTGAACTTTTACTACAGGCTATGTGGTTAGTGTCTTGCAGGCGTGTTCTATTTAACCCTCACAATTTTAGGAGGTGGGAATTAGCCTTCCTATTATGTAGAATAGGGAACTGGGGCTTAGAAATGGCAAGCAACTTGCCTAAGGTCACCGTCAGCCAAGCTGAGAAACACTTCAACACTGGGAAATGGGAAGCCCGAGGCTAGGGATGGAAGTGAAGGCTCCTGAATCCCACAGGAAAGGATTGGTCAGTAGCAAACTCAGGGACCTCCCAGATTCAAGGGAGCATCAGAGTGAGAGACAGGGCAAGAATCCATGAACTGTGGGAGCTAGGAAGAGGCTTTGTAGAGATTGGGGTCCTGACTCCTTGAGAATCTGGGGTACTCTCCCTCACCCCAAGAAGAAAATATACACAGAGACAGGGACAATTCTAAGAAGTTTATGGACTGGGGGCTAAGAACAGGAGATATTGTTTCTTTGATTGCATCCTGTATCCTTTCTCTGAAAGCACCCCCTCCATGGCCACTAGGTGGACTCCTAATTTGCAAAAATCAAAACCGCACCCCAAAAAAGTGCAAATTTGTCATCTGGGGCACTACCCTTATTTGCCTGCCCCTAATACACATTTCTTTGTTTATTAACATACTAGAGGCCCAGTGCACGAAATTCATGCACTGGTAGGGTCCCTAGTGGCTGTGTGTGTGTGGGGGGGGGGCTCCCTCCCTTCCCCTGGCTGGCCCTGCCCCTTGGGCAAACTCCCTACGAACTCATGAACTCCCCGTTGAGGAGACAATTTGCATACTATGCTTTTATTATATAGAATACGTATTTTGCAATAATGTACTTTGGCCCAGGTAGTATTCTAAATTCTGTAAATAGAGTTACAACCAAGAAAAACAAGATTCATCAGAGCTCACATTCCAGTGGGGGAAACAAATAATTAAGTCTCTAATGGACCTTGAGCTCTATGAAGGCTCAGTTTATTTGTCTCCTTGAGGCCTAATCAGGGCTTGGCATGTGGAAGTACTTAATAAAGGTTTGTTTGATAAATGATAGAGGAGCCAACCTGGAGTTGGGACAAGGACTGGGTAGGAGCTGGTGAGGGCATGGTGGATCAAGCCTGAAGTATACAATCAAGAGATCATGCATCTAGATCAAGACAAGGTCCCGTGGGGATAGGCTAGAGAATTTAGACGCGGGTGCTCCCTGGATCCCAGGTGCCCCGTGCTTGAACTTTATAGGTAAGATTTATGGAGCAATTGTGGTAAGCTTTTCCATTTACAGTGTTTACACGTACATTATCATTTAATCCTGGCCAAGTACCTATTATTATCCTCAATTTACACTGGAAGGAACTCAAGCCCAGAGTCTGTTATCTTAGGACCCACATCATTGCTCAGTGTGGGAGCTGGTTCTGACCCCAGCCTCCCTTCCCGACACCCAGGCTGCCTCTTCCTACAACCTGATCCTATAAGGAAGGGAAATACAGAGACATGTCATTGCCACCAAACTTCCCAAATCCTCTTAATCTGGTTTCTCACCCCTGAGGTGCTGCCCTCTGGGGCAAAGGGCACAGGGTAAGGGGCCTTAGATTAATGATTAACCCTTGCACTTCAGTGCACCGCGGACTTCTCTTCCTTCTGGGAGGTGGAGGGATAAGGCCTGGGTAGGAGCTGGTGAGGGGTGGTGGTCCCAGCAGCGCCCATGGGGGTCGTGCTGCTTCCACAGGTCTCCAGGCGCTGGCTCCGCCATACAATTCCTCTTGCCATTTTCGCGCTGCTACTTTTTTATCTCTGTACTCGGAGCCTACGTGAGTGGCCTCTTCCCCCACCTTCTCTGGCAGGAACCCAGGTATCCAGGTCCTGGGGACCTAAGGCCCCTCTTCGAGTCCTCACCGCCCCGCCTTGTCTCTCCTCAGGCGCCCTCTCGGGCTGCGGATCGGGGGCTCAGCCCTGCGTTACTGAGGGACCTCCGCCTTCACAGGTATGCTGGGGGCAGGGCTGGGACCGGGAGCTCCAAGTAGGACCCTCAACAGGGGGAAGGTGGAGCCAGGCTGACGGACTCCCTGCTGAAGAGCAGAGCAGGTCCTCCTTCCTGTCCCCCCATCCTAGACAGAAGCCGAGAGCACAGCAGGAGGGACACCAGCTAGACCTTAGGTTGGCGAAGGAGGCCTAACAGGCTAGGGGTTCTGCTCCCCCAGATCCGGCAACAGTTGGGATCCCTGGAGGCCCCGGAGCGGGAAGAGCCTCGGTGTCTGGGCCCCGAGGGGATGCTGGGCCGCTTGGTGAGGCCGTTCCGCGCTAGTCTGAACCTGGAAGGGGATGTGGAGTTGTCGCAGTACCTGGCGGGATGGAGGGAGCTCATCAAGTGAGTGGTCTCCCTCCCCTCATCCTTCCCCGCCTCCATGGCTCCACCGCCCTCTCTCTAACCAGCCCACTCTTCCCACCACCAAACACACAGATTCCTAACTCCCTTCGGCTCCATCTTCACCTTCGCCACGAGCGAAGCCTTCAGCAAAGTGACAGCCCTCGAGGCTCGGGTGCACGGCCCAGATGCCGCGCACTACACATCGCTGGCGACCATGGCTGCGTGGGAGCGGCGGGCGGGACTGCTGGAGAGGCCTGGGGTCGCCCCTCCGGACTCGGCCAAGGCCTCGGGCTCACGGACGACTCTCCTGCTGCACCGTGCGCTACGCTGGTCCCAGCTCTGCCTGCAGCGGGTGGCCACCGGGGCGCACCGAGGCCCGAGCGCCGGCGAGCAGTGCAGCGACGCCTACAGCACCGTCCTGGGCCCGCACCACCCCTGGCTGGTTCGGCAGGCCGCCCGCCTCGCGTTCCTCTCCTTCCCGGGTCGCGGCCGCCTGCTGGACCTGGCCTGTCCGCGAACCGGAGAGGCGGAGGCGCGGGCCGCGTTGGCTCGCGCGGCGGGCACCCTGGAGGAGGTCTACAACCGGACGCAGGGTTTGCTGGCCGAGCGCGGCCTGCTCCAGCTGGCCTAGGGGATCCCCGGGAAGGGAGCGCCCCGGGGCGGGACCCGCGCAGCACTGGGCTCAGGGTCCAGGCCCCCGGAGCCCGGCTATCGGGGGGGCGGGGCGCCTGATATCCCGCCTCTGCGGTGACGTCATTCCCTTGCAGGCGCGCCCCGGGTAGGGTGGGATTTTTTTTATCTCCTCCCTCTACCCCCGAAGTCCCGGGAAGAAGGGAGAAGCTAGAGGGAATAAAAGGTATTTTTTGGTAGCCGTCGATTTAGAGCGGTTTTTTGTTTGTTTTTTGTTTTTTGTGAGGCCAGCGGGCACTTTAAGGGGAAATAGAAAACAGTGGGTGTGGGAAGATGTGTCATCCCTGTTCCCGGCAGCAGAGAGACTCACGCTCCCCGTGGCTGTCTCAGCCACGCCTATGGCTGCCCTTGGCCAACTACAGGCCAAGTCTCCAGTCCGGACCTGTCCCCTGAGCTACCTCCACAGACCCCGTAAAGGCAACACGTCCGGCTGGGATCCAATCGCCTCCTCCCAGAACTTGTGTTCCTTGTCTCGATGAGTAAATGGCACCTGTCAGCCACCCAAGCCTAAAACCTGTGCATTATTCCTCACACCAGAGAGGCATTTAATCTTTTTTTTAAAGTATATTTTATTGATTTTTTACAAAGAGGAAGGGAGAGAGATAGAGAGTTAGAAACATCGATGAGAGAGATCGATCAGCTGCCTCCTGCACACCTCCCACTGGGGATGTGCCCGCAACCCAGGTACATGCCCTTGACCGGAATCGAACCTGGGACCCTTCAGTCCGCAGGCTGACGCTCCATCCACTGAGCCAAACCGGTTTCGGTGAGGCGTTTAATCTTTACTAAATGACTTTGGCTGCTCCCACATTCAATTGCCTGCTCGACCTCCAGTAGAGGGCGTGCAAGAGGCAGCTGATCGATGATTCTCATCATTGATGTTTCTTTCTCCCTCTCCCTTCCTCTCTGAAATCAATAAAAATATATTTTTTAAAAATTAATCAGGAAATTTTCTGTATCATATTTTCAGTTAAGAATGTTGAAAAGCTTTGTAAAGATCCTACCTGATCTGACTCTGCATTAGCCAAATTGACCTCCTCAATACTCACTGGACATGTCAGATTTGATCCTGCCTCAGAACCTTTGCACTTGCTCTCCCCTCTGTCCATACCATTTTTCCCCCAAATAGAAAATGTCTTCCCTCCTTACTTCCTTCTGGTCTTTATTCAAATGTCTCCTCAGTGAGATCTTTCCTGATTATTCCAAAATGTCAACACACACACACACACACACACACACACACACACACACACACACTTCCTAACTTCCTTCCTTGCTTTATTTTTCTTCTTATTCAATTCACTCTCTAACATACTGTATATTGGAATTCTTTATTTTTTGTTGTCTCCCCCAACATATATATAAGTTCCATGGTGAGAGACCAGTCGGGAGCCAAAAACCAGGATTATAGGCTTTATTAAGGGAAAGAGACCTGCCGGGCTGTCTCACAATGGGAGAACAGCAGCACGTGCAGAGGTGAGCATGCCTTTTGAGGGAAGGAATGGGGGGCTTAGTGTACTCGGCATGTGCTGATTGGTGGCTTAATGTATGGTCCATATAGGAACAAGGGCTTAGGGCAGTGATGGCGAACCTATGACACACGTGTCAGAGGTGACACGCGAACTCATTTTTTTGGTTGATTTTTCTTTGTTAAATGGCATTTAAATATATAAAATAAATATCAAAAATATGTCTTTGTTTTACTATGGTTGCAAATATCAAAAAATTTCTATATGTGACACGGCACCAGAGTTAAGTTAGGGTTTTTCAAAATGCTGACACGCCGAGCTCAAAAGGTTCGCCATCACTGGTTTAGGGTATTTGGCAGGTATTGATCGGTGGTTCAGTGTATTGTCCATATAAGGTACATAGTTAGTCACTCAGGTATTTCCGGGCTGCAGGTTACATCATACTCCGCCCACCAATTGGGGGAAGGGAGGATCCATCACATGGGGCTAGAAATTTCTGTCTATTTTGTTCCCTGATTTACCTTCAGTGGCTCACACAGTGCCTGGTACCTAGTAAACACAATGGTTTCTTGTTGAATGAATGTATGAGCACAAAAAATAGTTCAGGTGGCTGGAGCCAAGAGAGTCAAAAAGAAAAGAAGGGGGTTGCATAACAATGTAAATGTACTTGGTGTTACTAGATTGTACACCAATAATGATTAAAATGCTACATTTTATGTTGTTATTTATATTTTACTACAATAAAAAAATGTAAAAGAAGCCTGGCTGGTGTGGCTCAGTGGTTGAGTGTTGACCTAAGAACCAGGAGATCACAGTTCAATTCTGGTAGGGATACATGCCGGGGTTGCCGGCTTGATCCCCAGTGTGGGGCGTGCAGGAGGCAGCCAATCAATGATTCTCTCTCATCACTGATGTTTCTATCTCTCCCTCTCCCTTCCTCTCTCTGAAATCAATAAAAACATATTTTTAAAAGTATATAAAAAAGAGAATTGACCAATGAATGCATAGATAAGTAGAACAAAGTGGTCATCTCTCTCTCCCTCTGTCCTTCCACTCTCTTTCCCTTCCTCTCTCTCTCTCAAATCAATAAATAAAAATTAAAAGAAAAAAAGTTATTTGAAAAGATCAAGAAAATTAACAAAACTTTAGCTAGACTAACCAATAAAAAAAGAGGGAAGACAAATGATTAAAATCAATAATGAAAGGGGACATTACTACAAATCTTAACAGAAATAAAAGGGATTATAAGGGAATACTATAAACCATTGTAGACTAACAAATTAGGTAACCTAACAGAAATGGACACATTCTTAGAAAGACATAAAGTACCAAAATGGACTCAAAGGTAAATAGAGCCCTAGCCAGTTTGACTGAGTGGGTGTCGGCCTATGGACTGAAGGGTCCCAGATTCTATTCTGGTCAAGGGCACATGCCTGGGTTATGGGCTTGATCCCCAGTGGGGAGCGTGCAGGAGGCAGCTGATCAATGATTCTCTCCCATAATTGATATTTCTATCTCTCCCACTTCCTTCCTATCTGAAATCAATAAAAAAATTTAAAATAAAGAGAATACATTTTTTTTTAAAAAGTAAATAGAAACTCTGACTAGTCCTATAATGAAGAGATTGAGTTAGTAATAAAAACTTCCCACAGCCCTAACTGGTTTGGCTCAGTGGATAGAGCATCGGCCTGCGGACTGAAGGGTCCCAGGTTTGATTCCGGTCAGGGGCATGTACCTTGGTTGCGGGCACATCCCCGGTGGGGGGTGTGCAGGGGGCAGCTGATCGATGCTTCTCTCTCATCGATGTTTCTAACTCTCTATCCCTCTCCCTTCCTCTCTGTAAAAAATCAATAAAATATTAAAAAAAAAACTTCCCACAAAGAAAAGCCCAGCACCAGACATTTTCACTGATAAACTCTACTGAATGTTAAAAAAAAAAATTAATGGAAATCCTTCTCAAACTCTTACAAAAATAGAAGAGGGAAGTCTTCCCTACTTATTCTCAGAGGCCTATATTACCCTGATACCAACGATATATATAAAAAAGCAATTACAGACCAATATATTGATATATTGTATGAATAGAGATGTAAAAAATCTTCAACAAAATACTAGCAAACAATATATAAAAAGTATTAGCCCTGGCCAATGTTGTTCAGTGGTTAGAGCACTGGCCCACACACTGATGGGTCATGGGTTTGATTCCCAGTCAAGGGCACGTACCTGGGTTGCAAGTTTGTGCAATCCCCACCCTGGTTGGGGTGCTGTGGGAGGTAAGCAATCTATGTGTCTCTTTCACATCAATGTTTCTCTCTCTCTCCCCCTCCTACTCTCTTCATCTACCTCCCTCCTCCCCTCTCTCCTTCCCTCCTATTCTCTAAAAATCAATGGAAAATATCCTCAGGTGAGGATTAACAAAAAAAGTATTACACCCATGGTCAAATGATTTTCAACAAAGGTGTCAAGACCATTCAAAGGGGACAGAATAGTCTTTTCAACAAATGGTGCTGGAACAAATGAATATCCACGTACAAAAGAATGAATATTGGATCTTAGCTGGTTTGGCTCAATGGATAGAACATCGGCCTGCAGACTGAAGGGTCCCAGTTTCGATTCTGGTCAAGGGTACATGCCCGGGTTGCAGGGCTCCACCCCAGTTGGGGGCGTGTAGGAGGCAGCGGATCAATGATTCTCTCTCATCATTGATGTTTCTATCTCTCTCTCCCTCTCCCTTCCTCTTTGAAATCAATGATATATATATATATATATATATATATATATATATATATATATATATATATATATGCCCCTACACATTAAATACAAAAATTAACTCAAAATTAATCATAGACCTAAAAATATAAGAATTAAAATTAGCCCTAACTGGTTTGGCTCAGTGGATAGAGCATTGGCCTGCAGACTGAAGGGTCCCAGGTTCGATTCCGGTCAGGGGCATGTACCTTGGTTGCGGGCACATCCCCAGTGGGAGGTGTGCAGGAGGCAGCTGATCGATGTTTCTCTCTCACCAATGTTTCTAACTCTCTGTCCCTCTCTCTTCCTCTCTGTAAAAACATCAATAAAATATATATTTTAAAAAAAAAGAATTAAAATTATAACACTGTTAGGTGAAAACATAACGGTAAATCTTTGTAGCCTTGGGTTAGGCAACAGTTTCTCAGATATCAAAAGCATAAGCAACTAAAGGAAAAACACAAAATTGGACTTCACCAAAACTTAAAATTTTGTGCTTCAAATGATACCAATGAAAAAAGTGAAAAGATAATCCATAGAACGGGAGAAAATATTTGCAGATCATGTATCTGATACAGGTCTAGTATCTACAATACCAAAAACACTCTTACAAACTCAACAAAAGATAACCCAATTTTAAAATGGGCAAAGGACTTCTTCAATAGAAATTCCTCCAAAGAAGATAAACAAACGGACAATTCGCATATGAAAATAGGCTCACCATCAC